TATTATTTGATTTTTTTTTCTTCTAATATAATATATATATATATATATATATATATATATATATATATATATATATATATATATATATATATATATATATATATATATATATATATATATATATATATATATATATATATATATATATATATATATATATATATATATATATATATATATATATATATATATATATATATATATATATATATATATATATATATATATATATATATATATATATATATATATATATATATATATATATATATATATATATATATATATATATATATATATATATATATATATATATATATATATATATATATATATATATATATATATATATATATATATATATATATATATATATATATATATATATATATATATATATATATATATATATATATATATATATATATATATATATATATATATATTATATTCGAAGAAAAAAAAAGCTAATAATTCAATCAATTCAAAAAAACAACAAAGAAATAGTTGTAACATGCGCTACTTCGACTTCCTATGTGAAAAAATAAAAATCGAAATCTATATCATTACTAGTGCAATAATAGAATTGTCTAAACCCGACTCCTCAAAAGTTAAGTTACTATCACAAGTCCAAAAATTACTTGCCCAAAACTTAGTTGGCCCTGGCATTGCTTGTCTGAATCGAAATGCCTTTGTTTTTGCTTCTTCAAATTGAGTTGAACAAAAAGACCATAACAACTTAATTGGATCAGTTTTCATGAAATTCCTCTGAATTCTACGTCCATCAGGAAGACGAATCGCGATTCTACAGACCAAATTTTTGTCACAGTTACTGATCAAACTCCGATTAGGTTCTTCAGGCAGAGGAAGATAAATCATATTCGTATTCATCGACAACTCATTTTGATCATTTTCTTCTTCCTTACTCTCTTCATGATTAGTACTTTCTTCAATTCTATCGCGAGGAGTTAATCTGTCAAATTGTTTACTGAGTAGATCTGAATGATACTCTGAAGGAGTACGATCAATAAAAGTCATAGCATCTTCAAGTAACGTCTCAGGCTGAACCATTCCGTTCCAGGAGCGCATATTTTGACCTGTTATAGGATCAATCACTAATATCACAGGCCTGGAATCCAATTTATAGTAAGTACAAACTTTTCGCCCTTCCTCTGTATGGTCTCCCTCCTGCCAAAACACGAAGTTGTTTTCGATCATCTGAGCAACGATATCATTAGCCCAGGTATCTCGATTAAGCGTGTCTGAGGCGAATTCACTCCTGGATTGCACATTCACTAAAAGCCATCTGTTCCGCTTTGCGCCAGCTTCTTTTGCGTGATCAAATGGTCCATTGTATAACAATTCATAAGGAGGACGAAACAGAACAGAAAGGGTATTATTGTCATATGAGTCAAAAGTAGAAGACGAGATTTGCTCTCTCTCATCTTCGTATAGTCCTGAATTTTCACCGTAAAGAACTTCCCGTCTTACCGGTAATGGCAGACGTACATCGTCATCGTCTTCCGATTCCCAGAGTGTTGGATTATCTTCGATTAATGGCGAATAATTGAACGATTCTGCTGCTTCTGCTCCTCCATTGTTGTTTCCGGAGAAAAAACGTTGAATTGCTTCCTCCAGATTCCACTTTGTTGCTTGAAGAAATTCCCGGGCAGTATCGACGGTTTGATCGACGGCGATATCAAGGAAAGAAGAAATTAACATATCTTGGGACGATGGTACGGAAGCCATGCTTTGATTTCGTGCTGGAATTACACTGAGTATGTTATTGTTGTGTTGTGATTTCGTATAATAGAGATAGGGGGAGTAGCCCATGTATTTATAAAAGTTTCGAACCCAGTTTAATTATAAATAGGAAAAACATAGTTTGATTTTGATTAGGAAATGTTTATTTTTATTTATGGTAAACTAAAGAAACGTAACAAATATAAAATCCGTCTCCTAGACAATTTAGGATTACTAATTATTTATTTATTATTATTATTATTATTATTATTATTTTGTTATTATTATTAAAAGTATGAACTTTTTAAGTTTATTTTCTATATTTTATATTTAATTAATTATTTATATTTTATTAAAAGCAAACACCTTTTCACGCGGAAGGGTTATGACTTTTTCGAAAGATATTGTCTTTTCTAAAAGATTGTGACTTTTTTCGAAGGGTAGTGACTTTTTCAAAAGATTGCAACTTTTTTGATGAGTTGTAAGTTGTGACATTTCCAAAGGATTGCGACTTTTCCGAAGAGTTGTGATTTTTCCAAAGATTTATGACTTTTCCTATGTATTGTGATTTTTATGAAGGGTTGTGACTTTTCTGATAAGGTATAATTAACACCTTTTCATATTACTAAACTTTCAGAAAAAGGTAAATTAATGTATGATAATAATGCACTGACATAGTTTAACACCTTTCTCTTATTGATTTGATTAAATAAATAAATGTTTTAGCTTATGTTGCTTAGACTCTTCGGAAATGTTGCAGCACATATGACAAATCCTCAAAAAAATGCTTTGAAAGATCCAACACCACGCGTAAACATTATGATTTTTGAAGCATCCGAGCAACATAGGATAGGGTGGAAAGAACTTTCA